TGGAAGTCTCTAAATACTACAAGGAAAATAAAGAAATTACACTCTGTGGAATACTTCACAAGGGCTGCTATGTTAGTGAGGCCCTTCACAAGGCAGCAAAATCCAAAAGAACAAGTGGCCTACTTATTAAAAGTATAAGATATGAATACAGAATTTTAAATATATAGTCTAAAATACCATGTGTTTTTGAATAACTTTTTTTATCTTTTCCTTTCCCTTCTGCCTGCTTCAAATGCCTTCACACTTCCTTTTAACTTTATAATCAGATTTAAACAAATCAACCTCTCCACTGGAAAAATAATGCTCTTTTGCCAGTTACAATCTTCACTACATTTGGTAAATTGTTTGTATATTGAGGCAACTATATATGCATTCTGGATTGAATTCACAGCTAAATTTAATCTGTTTATTAATGAAAATTCACTGTCAGGTCCTGCTGTCCTTTGTAATACTGCAGTCTTACAGTTTATTATATCATCAGACTGTTAAGGTGGTTAGTATTCAAACTAGGACTGTGTACAGTACTTTTCAAAATGTAATGTCACAGTTTGTGCTTTATTTTTAACTATATATTTAATTTTACTGTACAGAAAAATATACAGATGTTTTTGGTTCTTTTTGCTCATGCTTTCTAAGTTTCTGAGATTTTATCTAAACTTCTTTGAACAGCAGTGCCTAAAATTGTAGCATTAACTGATGTCAAAAGTGAAGGTAATAGTCAGAATTTACCATTCATGCAGTGAGTTTATAGCAGGGGTGAATTTGGACTAATACATAGATTGGTAAATGGTATTTAAGCGTCTCTCCTTATTTAAAAATGTTTAGGGACATGTCATGCTCATAAAAGGTACTGGCTTGACAGACCGTGTAGAATGAAATCTGTTCATAGATCAAGTACAGCACAGGCAGCAGCCATACAAGTTAATATTGGCTCTGAGATGCTGTAGAAGATATTAGTACTTGTTTCAACTTTTATCTATGCAAGAAGAAAAATATGTCTTTATGTTGCTAACATGCAGATTCTGGCTTCATTTTTATATAAAAACATAAAAGCAAGGAAAAATAAACAGTGATTTTTTTTTATGTATACATTATTGGCAGAGCTAAAAGCATTAGGGCTGGCTGAAAATTCCCCATCAGCTTTTTTCACCAGAAAACTGGGTTTTCAACTAAACAAAACTTTTTGTGGAAAGTGTTTGCTTTCTTTGGAAAAAATTGATTAATTATTTTCACCAGAAAACCATAAGCTCTGACAAGATTTTGGTTTGGAGGATTTTCTGTAAAAAGTCAACATTTTCTGTGACTCCCCCCGCACCTCCCCCACTCTATATTCTGTAGTTAAGGCTGAAAACAGAGAATTATAACAGAAAGTGTTAAGCAATTGCTAAACTTTTAGCAGGCCAGGCTGAAAGCTTCCATGCTTGGTCTGTGCTTCAGACTGATTTTTTTGTTTTTGTTTTCGAAAGATTCAACAAAAATAGTTTAGCTGTTTCTAAAAATGGGATAAGGGAAACAGGTAGTTTTGTCAGTGTTACTTGACAAGGAAAGGGAAGCATAACACATTAGGGAAAATTCCCTGGTTGGCAAAGCCAAAGACCATGAGAAGAAGTTTAGGTACATAAGGAACAAAATAAATCCTAACAAAGATAGAGGCCCATTACAGCAGTTTTTAACATGTCAAATGCACTGAGCATGATCTCTGGCACAGATCTAGAGCTCTGGATGGGGGAAATGATGCAGTGGCAGCAGCTGCCACCTTTACCCTTTTAGTCTATGGAAGGGGGAGTTTACCGGAGGCTATGACCATGAGTTCTAGCCTCATCTCTTCCAGTGACTGGGGTTAATAAATCTGTGAAATGCACAGAATTAAAATGGAATAAGGCCTCATAACCAATATTGCCAACCACAAGCATTAAAAATCATGAGTTAGGACCCCAAAAATCATGAGTTTGGATTTTTTTTCCATGGGAGATATATATATATATATATGGTTCTTTTTATTCACATTCTGGTTTCTGAGCCTTTAGGGTGACCTCAGCTAGTGATTTAAGTTATTTTTTTTCTCTCTGCAACCATGAGGCCTAGAATTAACTTCGTTTTTCTTTTAAAGTGAAAGCTAAGATTTTCATGCAATCTTTTGACTCCAGCAGCTGGATTTTTTACAGAAACATGGAATACTGCAAGACTTGTGATTAAAATCACAGGCATATTACATAGAGGTTACACCAGGTCACTTCTGGCTGGGTTAGGAATAGAACAAGGACCAGATTCTGGGCTGCATCTCTCAGGAAGTATAACACAGAAGGTACTGACCCGAAAAGGGGTTGCAAAGGTGACTTAAAGCCCCCCAGCATAACTTGGAGGAGCCTTGGGGGTCTGCTTTAACTTACAGCAGACTGACTGTGGGCTTCTCCACAGTGCAGAATTACCAGAGCTCAGAGTGCTCTGGCCATTGCCTCTTTTCTCTTTCCGAATCAATGTGCTGACTGGTTTCAGAGGAACAGCCGTGTTAGTCTGTATTCGCAAAAAGAAAAGGAGTACTTGTGGCACCTTAGAGACTAACCAATTTATTTGAGCATGAGCTTTCGTGAGCTACAGCTCACTTCATCAGATGTTTACCGTGGAAACTGCAGCAGACTTTAAAGTCTGCTGCAGTTTCCACGGTAAACATCTGATGAAGTGAGCTGTAGCTCACGAAAGCTCATGCTCAAATAAATTGGTTAGTCTCTAAGGTGCCACAAGTACTCCTTTTCAATGTGCTGACTGCCTCTTCTTATCCCCAGGATAGCAGGCTGTGAGGGGACAGCTGTATAGTGCCACCTTAAATGACCCTGGTGCTGGGGTTCTCCTTCCAGGGCTCCTCTGTCTCTCTGTGTCCCTTGTATAGTACAGGAGGAGCACAAAGACACTAGACACTAGAATCAAGCCTATGTGCTTAATAGGGCAGATCCCAAGTCTCAGCCACTCGGCCAGCCTGCCTTTCAGAATGAAAATGCCAAATGTATGTTTGACTATGTTGTCTGTGGCCATTAGACCTCTCTCCCTTCCAAAGCTAAGACTAGCACTCAAGGCTTCTGATTCCTAATCCTCCTCTATTAGCCAACCAATAATTGTGTAAGTCAATGCTTTTGTCTTGCTTCCCTTGCTGGTCCACATAGCGTCTACTACTGCTACCAGTAGTATCTTCAGCTCAAGTTGTAGAAGTCTGTGCTGTGTACTGGATTCCAAATGTGCTGATGATCTATGCACAGGGGTAATATAGTTCCACATGATGTAAATTCTGATTTACAAAAACCAGAAACCTAAGATGATATATACAAACCAAACAACCCCCCCCCCGAGTTACAAATATTAAGGGTTTTAAAGCACTTAGAAGTAAGGAAATGCCAAAATTAAGGTTGCTTAATATGATCCCTTTGTGTATATGCATTATGATAGTCTTAATTACATGATCACGTTATTTGTTCTGAGACCCATGTCATTCAGTGCACAGGATGGCGTGTGAGTGAGGAAGAGGAGTGCTAGAAGAGTAAGGAAGTTCCTTTGTATATAAGGCATTAGACTGGGGACCTAGGAGAAATAGAAGTGGAAGTGTTTTTTTACCCACAAAAGCTTATGCCCAAATATATATGTTAGTCTTTAAGGTGCCACTGGACTACTTGTTTTTGTGGCTACAGACTAACACAGCTACCCCACTGATACTTTCTATTTCTGACTCTGCAACACATTTGTCATGAACACAAAGGGGAGGGGGAAATTGTGGCTCCAATACTTTAAGAAGATCTGCTTGGATGGATTCTTGCAACTGTGCAGTCCCAGTGAAGTTAGGTGTCTCTCATTACTTGAAAAGTATGTTTCCACTTTTTGAGTATGTCTCCACTGCAGCTGGGAAATGTGTTTGAGTATTATGCAGCACAAATTAAAGAGAAATAAACATAGATTCAATAAAGAGTGAATAGAGGTTTTAGCCTTGGACTTGATAAAGAGCAGGATGCTTCCTGTGTGGAAATGAGACAGGGCATACAGGAGGGTAGCAGGTAAACTGTGTATTCCCAATGTTCTCCGCCCTAAGCGACTAATTGTTGGTTGGCTTTCACTGGGGTTACAAAGGGATAATCAAAGCCGGGAACTGGGGTCATTTTTTGTCCTGAGTGCTGGATTTTCCACACATCTATATTTGAAATCGAAATGCTGCCTCAGGATAACAATTAATAACTTGCATAATCAAGTGTCATGAATTCTAGTGGCAGTGTGGTCATTGTTGCAGGGCTTCAGTCACCTCCATGCATGGCCTTTGGCAAAGGACTGTCCAATATGATGCAGGATCTCAAAGTTATGGATTACTTGTGGCACCTTAGAGACTAAGAAATTTATTTGAGCATAAGGTTTCATGAGCTACAGCTCACTTCATCGGATGCATTTCCACTGAATGCATCCCATGAAGTGAGCTGTAGCTCACGAAAGCGCAGGCTCAAATAAATTGGTTAGTCTCTAAGGTGCCACAAGTACTCCTTTTCTTTTTGCGAATACAGACTAACACGGCTGCTACTCTGAAAGTTATGGATCTTAAGTATTGAGCTAAACTGGGTCAGGAGCAGCCTAAGTTCCCTCTCCCGGTTCTCTGAAGACCGCCAAAGGTCCGGGGCCCAACGCGTTGGCCGGCGGGCCAGCCGGCCTGCCTCTAGCGAGCTGAAACAAGCGGCGCTGGCTCAGAACATCACTGACCTTCCGGAAGAGCCGGAGCCAGAGCTCGTGGTTTCGGCCACGCTGCGACTGAGCCCTGGCGTGTGCAATTTGGGGCGGCTGAAAAAAGGCTCCCCGCAACCCCCGCCGCGGCGCTGCCCCAAGCAGCGGCGCCTTCTCTCTGCCGGGCGCTCCCCCGACCAACTTTCAGCCAATTGGCGCCCTGGCTCTCCCATCCAGCTGCTGAAGCCGCTGCCCAGCGGCCGCCGCTGGCTCCTCCCCTCCTCTCCTCTCCTCTCCCCTCCCCTCCCCTCGAGGAGCTCGCCGGGGTAATCCTGCAACCGGCCCCTCCGTCCCTGCCCCCTCCTCCCATCTCCTGCCCTTTGCAATGAAAGTCCCTGTTAACTCTTCTCCCCTTTAGCAGGCGGCCCGAGTCAGTGCAAAATGCTGGGCATGTACGTGCCGGACAGGTTTGCCCTGAAGTCGTCTAAAGTTCAGGACGGGATGGGGCTCTATACGGCCCGGAGAGTGAAAAAGGTGGGTGATCTCGCCGCTGCTCCGCGGCACCCATGGGGTCGGCATGACGGGGAGACCAGGGGGCTGTGCGCTGCCTGGTGAGTGTATTGCAGAAGCAGCTAGGGCAGCTGTGTAGCTTGTAAGCTACTCCGCCCCCCCCGCTTAGTTTCCAAAATGCTGGTTTCTCCAGAGAAAGCCTGCCACGTAGTACAGGAGTTCACTGCAGCGCCTTCTCCTCTCGCTGCCTGCAGGGCTTTCGAGTTCCAACTTAATTCCAAACTCCCCCTTTACCAGAGCTCGCTCCACCGTCTGCTTTGCAGCGGGCAGTGTCTTGCTGAAATGAAAAAAAAAACAAAAAAAAAAAACAAACAAACCCAGCGTTAAACTGAAGCATGTTCTGGTGCATTTCACAGAAATCTATTGTTGGCACGCAAGGACTGAAACCGTGATCAAAAACAACAACAAAAAGGCACCGTCCCCTAGGGAGCTTTGTTTCTTTGGGGAGTGGCATAAAATGGTTAGCCCAGCTCCCCGCACCTGTACATGCACAAGCAAAGAGTGGGTTAATCGTGTGCATAGGAAGGGGTTAGTAGGAGGTTTTTATTTTGGGTTGGTGTTACGTTTTTGTTTGTTTTTTAAAACCCAGGCAGTGCCCCTCTCCTGATCTATTTGTCCATTCCCATCTCATTTTCAATCTAAATATACCTCCCTCCCCACCAAACTCCTGCTGTTCTCTTACTTTTAACAGAATAAATGATTTAATTTGCTTTGCAGAATAATGAAACTGTGGCTGTGAAAGATGTGATACAGCTGAAACCTCAATTAAGTACAAATCCCTCTTATGCAAAACAGGTCACATCCCCTGACATCTGTTAATTAAATTGAAAATTCTCTTGATTATCCACAATTTCAATTATCCAGAAATATTCAGTGTCCCCCATTATATTTACATAATTGAAGTGGTACAGAACTAAAATGATCAATCCCGCATTAATTTAAGCTTCTACCTTTTATTTTTCTTGGATCTTTTGTTGTGTGTCTGTCCCACTTTTCAGAGTAGCAGCCGTGTTAGTCTGTATCCGCAAAAAGAAAAGGAGTACTTGTGGCACCTTAGAGACTAACAAATTTTTGGATCTTATTGGTTTGAGAGAGGTGCTATTTGGGCTATCTTGTTGTGTGTGCAATTCACCTAACGCCATAGAATACAGTGAAATTCATCAAAATTATTACCTATTTCAACAGTCATTACAATTTTGGGCCTGATTTCCTTTTCTCTTAAGTATAAATTTCATGGGTGTGAAACTGGTGAAAAAGGAAAGTAGAACTTGCCTACACTTAGTGCCAGAGTTCCTACATACTGTTTAGGCGGATGTCATCAGGTGGTGATTTTACACACAGTCTTCCAAGTACTTTTTCTTAGTTTGGTGGCAAATGTTCAATGTTAGGAAGGCATGTTAAATATTACTGTTAGTTTTGTTATGCAACGCTCTGAGTAAAGGTATCTGTGTGAGCAGCAGGCCTTGCTCTCTTCCTTGGTCTATGGAGGCCAGTGTTACTTCCTGGGAACCAAGCATTGGTGTATGGCTGAGATTCCTGAAAGAAGGAATTTGACTGCATGCTGTTTGTGACCACCTCTGTGCCAGGACTGGTGTACATGCATAAATAAAATAAATTGTTCATAGGATGTAACCAGACTCCATGTCACTGGGAAGTCTACCTCAGCAGAGGGGGAACAATACTAATTACACTATATTATAGCCATCTATTGTAATGGCCACCAAAGTAATTCCATTAACAATTTTTGGGAGGAGGTGCTGAATGTGAAATTAGACATATATTTCTGAGTAGCAAATTCTGTAGTGTACTCTGTGTTGTCTGACATCTTAAATGTATCTTTCTTTCCTGTGGTTAAAGTGCTCCTTTCAGATGTCCTTATGTTATCATTATTATTGCTAACCCCAACTGCTCAAATATAACGAGGCAGGCCCCCTCAAAAATCGAGTGATTTTAAAAAAAAAAATCCCATTTTGCCTCCTTTTTGATTTGCCTTTGGATGTGAGCCCTTAGGTTGCACTCAGGTCATGTTTTCAAGCTTTTCTCTGTTACCACAAGGGCTAGAAACTTTGTATTTTATTTATTTTTTTTAAATGAAAGTTGAGATTCTCATGTAATCTCTTCTCTCTGTCATCTAGACTTTAACTCAAACACCCAAATCACAAAACTCTTGATACAGTCATGAGCATTGGCAACACTGGTTTCTCAGTGCTTTGCTGGAAATGGAACAAGATCAGTTGTTGCTGCCTGATTTTCTTTAAAGTTGATCCCTACTGTATTTTCTGCCCTTTTAGTGATAGGGCAGTTTATGTCTCCTTTTAGTCACTGTTATGATAGATGTTTGTGTATAGTTTCATTCATTATTTTTTTATTGACTCGAGAGGAAATGAAGTGTAAGAATCTGGTATTAGTTAATATATATTGGCATATAATGGGATATTTGTTTGCTAGAACTGATAAATGTGTATATATCTGAAGAAAAGATACTTATAGTCCTCAAAAAAGGCTACTTGCCTCTGGGACCCTTATGTTGCAGAACATATTGGCTAGCTGCCTACAACTTCTGTTTCCTCTCCAAGGCTGAGAAAATTATTTTTACCTTTAAAAATGCCTGCAAGTTTTTAAAAAAATCACTTTAAAATTCAGGTCTTTGGGCAGGTCTTCACTTACAACGCTGCAGCTGCACCAATGTAAGTATTTCAATAAAGGCCTTGTCTACACTGCCACTTTACAGCACTGCAACTTTCTTGCTCAGGGGTGTGAAAAAACATCCCCATGAGCGCTGCAAGTTTCAGTGCTGTAAAGTGGCAGTGTAGACAGTGCACCAGTGCTGGGAGTGACTCCCCTTGTGGAGGTGGGTGTTTTTTTTTTTTTAGCGCTGGGAGAGCTCTATACTATTGCTGCGTTCCACCCCAGAGATGTCTGCGTTTTGGTGGTTGGTGAAGTGATTCCTGTAGGTACTTTGTAAAGTGCCTGGGGATCCTTTGGGGTGACAGGATTTGTATAAATGTAAAATAGTGGAGCTAACTTGTCCCAGGTCAAGTCTATACTACATCGGCACAGCTGCGCTGCTGTAGTGTGTCTGGTGAAGTCGTGCTATGCCGACGGGAAAGCGCTCTCCCATTAGCGTAATTATTCCACCTCAGCAAGAAGCAGAAGTTATGTTCGCGGGAGATCATCTCCTGCTGACATAGTGCCAGTGGGGACAGCACGGGAGGGGTGGGAGGGTTCACGTCCCGGAGCAATGTAAGTTGGACTGATTTTTAGGCTGGAGTGTAGACCTGTCCTTAGTCTGCACTACAAAGTTTTGTTCGCATATGTCAGCTAAGGGTGTAAAAAAATCATACCCCGTAGCACTGTCATAGCTCTTCTTCTCCCTTGCATTAATCCCATCAAATCTACGAGTATTGCGCCCCTCATTTGCCCATACAAGTGCTCTGTTCGGTGCTGTATCCTCTATAACACCACTTCTTCCTTTATGACATCCTACCACTTCTTCTTGGGTTGGCCTTTCTGATTTTTTTTTCCTTCAGTCTTGATCTTTTGGACTCTTACCACATAGTTGTCAGGACTGTGCTTAAAACAACCAACCCACTGAGCCTGCATTCTCTCATTTTTGCATTTATTGGTATTGATTTGAGCATGTCTCTCTCTACATACATATTCTTCACATAGCCTTTCATTCATACACCATTCATCTATTTCAATATTCGCCTTTCTGTGGAACAGATCATTTGCTCGTGTTTCTTCTTTGTTGCTCAACGCTCAGGGCCATATATTAAAAGTGGACAGACCACGCTTTTGTAGATTTTATCTTTTAATCTTATTGGTATCTTACTACACCACTTAGCTTTCTTCATTTGGGCAACACGTTTATTATCCTAGCTCTAATTTCATCTTCCATTTCCCCATTTTCCTGGATTCTAAAACTCAGATACTTGAAGCTTTGCGTTTTCAGAATTGTCTGCCTATCCAGTTTCAAGGATAATTCTTCAGTGTTCATATTACTGAAATTACATGCCATATATTCTGTTTTTTCTCTGCTTATTTTGAGCCTATGTCTTTCCAACACATCTCTATTTTTCAAGAACCCATCTTTCTCCTCACCGCATAGAATATCATGTGCACCAACGTGCTGCCTTCTGTATGTTCCTTGTGAGGGTGTCTAGAATGAGGATAAACACAAAAAGGGCTTGTCAAGGTTCCTTCCCCACTCTGAACTCTAGGGAACAGATGTGGGGACCTGCATGAAAAACCCCCTAAGTTTATTTTTACCAGCTTAGGTTAAAACTTCCCCAAGGTACAAACTATTTTACCTTTTGTCCCTCGACTTTATTGCTGCCACCACCAAGTGTCTAACAAATATAATAGGGAAAGAGCCTGCTTGGAAATGTCTTTCCCCCAAAAATCCCCCCAAGCCCTTTCCTGGGGAAGGCTTGATAAAAATCCTCACTAATTTGCATAGGTGAACACAGATCCAAACCCTTGGATCTTAAGAACAAGGAAAAAGCAATCAGGTTCTTAAAAGAAGAATTTTAATTGAAGAAAAAGTAAAAGAATCACCTCTGTAAAATCAGGATGGTAAATACCTTACAGGGTAATCAGATTCAAAACATAGAGAATCCCTCTAGGAAAAACCTTAAGTGACAAAAAGACATAAAAACAGGAATATACATTCCATTCAGCACAACTCATTTTATCAGCCATTTAAACTAAATAGAATCTAACGCATATCTAACTAGATTTCTCACGGATTTTTTACAGGAGTTCTGACCTGCATTCCTGCTTTGGTCCCGGTAAAAGACACACACAGACAGAGAGAACCCTTTGGTTCCCCCTCCCAGCTTTGAAAGTATCTTGTCTCCTCATTGGTCATTTTGGTCAGGTGCTAGCGAGGTTATCTTTAGCTTCTTAACACTTTACAGGTGAAAAGGTTTTTTCCTCTGGCCAGGAGGGATTTAAAGGTG